TCTTTCTTTTATTTTATAATAATGATAAAATAATCATTATAGTACATTATTTTCAACATGTATTTAAATGAACAGAATATTATGTTAATAGAGAAAAAAAGATTCTCATCATAGGATATCTGTAATAGCACATTAACACTATAAGAGGCTGGCCCCGCAGAAAATTGCATTTTTGAAATAGAAAAATTGCAAAAAAAATTGCAAAAAAATTGCAACCTTCCCATCCCAGGCGCATTAATACAGGCTTAACATTTTTAGTTTAAAAAACATGACAATTTTGAGTACCGGTAGCATAAAAGCAGCACACCTTTTTAAAAAATCATGACCCACAATACAAAGTCATCAAATGTTATTAACAACATTTACTAGTAACAACACAAGAGTATGTTAACAATGAAGTTATCCACCAAATATAATACGATAACACGTGACACAAAATAACGGAACCCTTGGTTTTCGTAAAAACTTTTAAATGAAGGCATAAAATTTGACCAAATTTAGTACATACCCGGCACTTTGTTCATGCAAAAATCTTGAAGTAGAAGTGTATGAGGTTTAGTCTATAAAAAACAAGAAAATTGACAAGGGATTTTCGAAACAACCTCTAAATACAAATAAAGCTTATGCTCCAATCAAATCAGATCCTGTTCTATTTTTCTCTTGAAACCTTCGATACACCGGTAATCTGTATTCAGATAATTTCTTTTTAAAAACTGGCATGGTATGGTTTTAACACCAAGTCAAATCGTAAAATACAGAAAAAAAATTTTTTTCCATTTATAAACAATAGTAATACATGTACTAATGTAGATCTAGATCATTTCTATAGCACCCACTCCCATGTGAATGCAGCTTAAGGCGTTTTACATTACGGGGTGTTTGCGTACACGGACACCAAGCGTAAGTGTCTATGTACGCGGTAACCGGCAACCGGGCACATAGTCTCAGTGTCACATACACGGTAACTGGGCAGTTAAGAATTCCAAGTTCAGTTTTTGTCATCCGGTGTTGCCTTCAACTCCAGCCCTCCCCCGACTGTACCTTTAACAAAAAAATCAATAATTCCCCCATTCCGGAGCTCTATACTTCGTAACCACTGGTACTCGCAATGTGATGCGAAAGCACAGGTTCACTGACCAGTAACGATGGCGAGCCCGACAAGACGCGTGTATAACTTTCTTTTTTCATTTCAACAAGTGACAGCACAGGACAAATATTGGTTTATTTTCATTCCGGCTACCGTGTACGTAAATACTGAGACTAGGTGCCCGGTTACCGTGTATGTAGACACACGCATCATGTTCGAACAATATTCATGAGTGCGCACACTCACGCTCATACACTCACGTACACCTCACACACGCACACACCTACTTTCTTATCACATGGGCACGCTTACACACATTAGATAAAAGCCTAGCCCAGAGAAGGCCACCTTCTCAGCCTAGCCTATGTCTCAGTTTGTGTTGTACATGAAGCATTCCGGCCTGAATTTCCGGTTATAGCTTTTAGAGTACGCTCAGTAGGCTTGAGCTGGGCCGATACCATGATTTACGTAGGCCTGTCGGGTTTGTTGTGGAACTCTACGAAAAATGCGGCCGCAAGACTGCGATTTCATAGGGGGCCAGAAGAGGATACTTCTTGATATGATTAACATTTAAATGACCCAATAGTCATTTGTGAAACTGACTGTCATCCTGTAACTAAAAAACAGAATCATAGGGTTGAGCATAACTTCCTTTCGGTTCATTCTATCTTTTATCAGAAAAATGTTCAACTATCAGAAGAAGCATATCTAACAATTTTTTTTCTATTTCCCTCGTTTAACAGTTTCCTAAATTACTACTGATCTTTTTCTTTCACTGACTTCATAAAACATGGGTATATATATATATATAAGCATTCATCACGCCTTCTTAGAATGAAGAAAAAGAAATAAACGACTCTCAGCGTCAAATAGTGCAACATATGAGGAGCCACTACATGGTTCCCAACTTCTTGAGGTTGTGTATATTTCCAAAGAGGCATCTGAATGTGAACTCGAAAAACAAAATCAAAGGCAAAGTCATGACTGTCTAATATTTGTGAGTCGGTCTGAAAAAAATCAGGAATATGTCCCCTCTGGGCCATTATGAGCCTTCGCACTTTTCTGAAACTTGGATTATTATGCACTTAAAATTTTTCTGTTATCTTTCCTAGAAGATGAGATATTGCATTTTGAAGTACGGTAACAAAATGTGAAAAAGTTTAAAAAACTGAGAAAAGTGTGTTCAAAGCTACACCATTACTGCTTTTTAATATCTGAATGCAAATGGAAAATAAATTTAGAAAAGATATTTTAAAGTGGTTTTTACAAGAAACAGCTCTTGAATGATTTTTTTTAAGGGTTGGGGAATGCCCTGGTATGTATAACGCAAAATCAACCAGAATTGACCACACCAACTATTTTTGCAGACATCTCAGTTCCAGGTTTATTGACATATTCCTGCTTTCCTCCGACCGGCTCACATTTGAACTTCTCCCTCCAAGCTGCACAAAAGTGACATGAGTGACTCGGATGACATGAACACAGTTTAAGTCAAAAGACCATACATTATACAAATATTTTTAGATTCTTATTTAGCCGTTCAAAATAGATATAGTTCTCCAAAACAGCATGAAAGACAGAAAAATTTTGGGTGAAAGGGTAAAGTTTATACTTCATGAGAACAACATCATAACAATTGAGCTTGCTTTAAATTCGACCCCATTAATTTAACAGTAATATACAGACCTTTGAAGTTAGAAATAAAAACAAGGATTCTTTTGAGTTCTGAAATTCAAAACTTTTGATTGAACATTCAGATCCAGCTCGGTTTTCACAGCTCACAGGTTTCTCTTTCTAGTTCAAGAGGCATTCTGAGGAGTCCTCAACTGGGAGGCGATGCAGCCAAACATGGACACAAAGTCATTCTTCAGTCTGAAAGGAAAGAATGTGGGAAAAGAAGAAATGCATTACTTCATTTCATAGAGAACATTTTGTAATATGAAATTCTAGTTAATAACAAGTAGTGAAGAATGAACCTTAATTTAAGAAAATCAAACTAAAAGCACGATTCTGTGTAAAGCGACTCTAAAGCATCACATCAGCATTCATGCGAGTGGTACAACGTGGTAAAGTCAAAGAGCCCATAAGGATATTTTCTTATAGAGAACAAACTTTTTCACTATGTCCCAGCAGACTGAACTGTTGCAGGACACTCTGTGGCAATGCAATTAAATGAGCTTTGAATAAAAACAACTTTCATCATCATGAAGGAGGAGACTACATGAGTTATCTGTTTCTCATAGCCGGGCAACAGTTTGTAAAATGAGAACATCATGGTAAACATTTCAATATTTGCAGGGTGCATGCAACTGATCCAATCATCTGGACTCTCGGATGGTTGAACAGCGCCACTGGCAAGTCCTACTTCTCTTATGACTTGCCTTTTGCTTTCACTAAATGACCTTATTATGTTGATGAGCTTCTCTGTGCCAAGACTCACCTGGCTTCCACTTCCAGCCCCTCCATCTGAACGACCTCCCCGTCCACATAGAGGTAATGCTCCATCTCTCGTTCCCTCGCTCGTGCTTGCGAAACATTCTCATCCGTCTCACTAGGGTCTTGAATAACTTTGAAGCGAACTCCCACTGCTCCTTTTATAAATTCAATGTTGGGAATGGGCCCCTGAAGACAAAAAGAAAGTGTTCACTTAGGATGAAGGAATCTACCCAACTTTTGACACTGATTAATAACTTTATGGAACTTTCATTTTATTTGAGCAAAGCGACCCCAGAATAGACAATAATTGAAATGGTTTGCAGCCATTATTGCAACAACTCTCAAATCCATGACACCATTAAGTTCTACAACGCTACGTAGTGAAGGTTAGAAATGGAGTAAATAGTGGTGCTATGTCAAGACTGAAGTACTGTCTGAGACATCTGCTCAGTGATCATATAAAAAAAAGGATTAAACGAAATGAAATGAGCATCTAGCCTTGGCAAGAACAAGACAGTTGGAAGTGCAAAACGGAGAGGGAAGAAAATCAGAACAGTATGTAGAGACTAAGAGAATGACAAACCTGTTATTGAGATGAATTCTAATACCCAATGCACACTATTAATCAGATTGGTACTGTTTTATTGTCTGCCAAACATGTGGTTGCAACCATTTGGCGAACTTCGGAATATTTGATTATATTAAAACAGCTGCTTCTTCTTTAAAATTGACAGAGAGGTAAAAGAATAGTACCAAAATTCTCAGGAGACAAAGGCGTTTCGTATGACACAGATAAATTTGGCATACAGCTACTTTGAAAATTTAGTTTCTAGTACCTGCAATTATACATAAATGTGTATCTTGCAACAAGTCATTAAATACTAAATATTTGGCCAATTTTTTCAAAGCTTATCTTCCAAGCTTAGCTAAGAACAGCTTGGAAATGTCTTGCAGGACAAATGCAGTCCTCCTTTCACCCTCCAAAATGACAATAAAGAGTTTATGAAATTTGATCTTTTAAGTCTCTTTCTCAGTCTAAGGACACTAGCACAAACAGGTTCAGTGCATACTGAATTTTGAAAGTGAAGTAAATAAATTTCCAGGTGGAGCTGGTGGAGGGTTTTAATAAAAAAATTATTTTTTTAAATTAAAGATGTGGAGATTTGTAGTTAACTAAAATTATCTAAACATTTCAAATACCCTTTTCAGAAAGACATCTATATGAGCCACATCCATTCATCATAAGGTACTGATGCATTTTCAACATTTTTTCTAGTTAACACACTGCATCATCCAAGTACACATTATTGGTTTACAAAGCAATTTCTGCACTGCCTAATAAAAGCAATAATGTTGAATCATTAAAAGTAAAAAATCATGCGATCCTGATGTTAAAAAAAAAAATTAGTAGTTTATAAACATTCCATAACTGAGGTGCCACTATATAATTCTTTAAAATGTAATATTTATACAAAAACTTCTTGTTCTTCTTTAAGTGCCATATCTGAGACAGATATTGGCGTTCATGGGTGAATCACTCAATTCTCTGCTCAGAAGCTCTAAAAAATAAACTATAGGCCTATTATCCAAGTCCCCATCAAATCTAAGTTCTCTCGCAAAGAAAAGACTTACATTGATTTTTTTTCCTTCAAACATTAAGGCATACTTGATGATACCCATGTTGCTGCAGCCAGTGTCTACCATGAGGTCACCGGAACAACTAAATGGGTCAATCACCGTACATTCAGGCATGTCCTTAACGGAGAAGGTCGACAGTGTGGCTCCTACATACGGCTTATCATCAATGTCATGCTGATGCCAGCCTGTATCGAGGAGACAGCGTTTTTTCAAAAAGGAAAAGCAAAATTAGGTCATATGTCAGAAAATAGAAGTGTTGCTACAAGTGCGTAACATAAAAAACAAAAACAAGGAGTGATAAGGACGATAGATAGCTGACAGGGAAGAAGGAGCAAACAACACTAGAGCACCCATCAACCATCCGCTTTTAGCATTTTGACTTACACCCAAAGGAGTCTTTATGGCACTGCAGTTTAACAGAGCAAAACATTTAAAAGAAATAAAAATGGAAGGTTGAATGAGGAAATGAAGGGAGAAAATGTGACATCTTTTTATAAGAAGCAAAGCTCCAAGTATCAATATCATCAAAATGCAAAATTTGAGTGGGGCGGTTCTGTGTGGTTTTTATGAACAATATTTTAACAAGCCAAAAGCAATATTATTCTCTGTTTTACCTCCAGAGCTAACGATAAAGAAAGTACTTTAAGTCAGAAAATATTTTGCTGCAACATTTATTGGATAGAGACAGCAATTAAAATCATCTTTGTGAAACTTTTATGAATCAGTGCAAAAAAATATTATGGCTAAGATACTTAAAATTCCGCTAATCTGTGGTTTAAAGTGCAAGAACTGAGAAAACATTAACCTGCACTCTAGACAAGTCTATCATCTATAAGCAAAGAGTCCCTCTCTCCATACAAGACGTCAGACAAATTGTTTTAAACTCTGTAAATACTCTCACCTGTCTTAATTTCAAGGCTTTCTGTATCTCCCTGAGCACTGCAATGAAAATCCAGAATGCTTTTAGCTTTGGAAAAAGTTTTACTTCACTTGCAACACAAACAAGTAAAATAAGCGCCGAAGATTAGAGTTATTATTAGAGAGTAACATACAAAGAAATTAAGAGGGGAGAGATAAGAATGATAAATGTTTCATAGAAGAGAAAGAGCAAACCAAACCATAGCACCCACCAACCAACCACCCAGAATTTTTTTTAAAGTAGGGTTATCTCATGCAACTATGGACTATGTAAAGACCACATAATCTGTAGCATCTCAGGAAACTATGTACAGACCACAAAATGTTAAATATCTTAAATCTTTATCTCCGATAGTTCTCCATGTAATAAATGAACGCCCGGTAAAAGAGACCTGTTTTCAGCAATTGCCGAAAACTAATTCAACACCGAAATCGTCGTAAAAGAATGTGCCTAAGCCACTGCCAGAGGCTCATTAGCACATCGGTTCCAACTGCGAGCCACTGGGAGCAGCTTGCCGGAGACAAGGAGTTTAAAAACTAAGAAAGGACGATATAATCTTTACTGTCCCAAGAAACTAAAAAAGGATAGAAAAAAATTAAATCTTTGAGGACCAGAATTATTTGTCTGAGAGCATATCATACACCACACAGCATTTTATTTCTGAGTTGCTGTTTACTGTGAATCAGAACAATAATGGCTGCACTGTCTCAGCAGAGCACCCACCAATCATAGGCATATACAACATACAGTGAAATGATAATAAACAATGCAAAATTTCTATACTACTAAGAATGCCTGTGAGAAGTAACAATGAATAAAGCCACATTTGATCTTAGCTTTATAACCAAAAAGTGTGAAGCACCATAACTGAATGACTCAATGAACGGCTCTATACTGCAGTGTACCGAGTGCTCTCTGCGTGGGGGGGGTTACATGCTTTCCGAGCTTCGTGGAAGGATTGATGCAAAATAATTCCAAGCCAAATTACTTTATTCTAATAGAAAATGAACTGATCTTTCTAATGGTACCTTTTTGAGCCGATATTTAACATATTTCGGGTAAAAAATTATCTTTGAAAACTTTGACTGTCTTTTTAAGGCTAACGCCAAAGGCTAGAAATATACCATGGGAAAGCTCTTTCAAAGCTCTACAGTTCTTCGCTAATGAAAAGACAGTATTTAATCATCAATCGTTCGTCAAAGCATTTCAATGCACGCGTGTCAATTATTGAACCAGCCGACCATGCATTCCGAAAGCGAGAGGCTTCGCTTTCCACGGTGATTCTCCAGCTCCTAATAATCGGACAAATGAACAACTTACACCATTGTAACGAGGAAAAGCTGAACTGTTACAAGGTGTACAGCATTTGGTGTTCAATAGTGAAAGAGCGAAGTCACAGCGATCTGAACTACCTCGATTTCACCTAAACCACACGCTCGGAAGGCCACGAGAGCCTGCGACGCCGTGTTTACGCTACCTACATGAAGATTTTGAATGCAATTGGACATTGGAACCTGTATAAAATAAAAAATCTGCATCTCTCTCGGCCCTGGGTTAGTCTGATAGGTAGGGCTGAAGCAGCCCAGCCCCTACAAGATCTAAATTGGGTTGATGGGGATGTAAAACATTCCCATTACAATCATATATTACACCGACATTTATATACAAACCCCTCTGTCTTGACAATCGGAGACGGCTCTCCATCGAGGAGATATTCCATTTGCATTCGAAATCTCCTTTTCTTTTTGACAAACATTCTCAGCATGCCATCTGTGAAATAAAATGTTGTCCCATGACATTGATGACACACTTTAAAACCTTTTTGGTAAAGAAGTATGACAAGCACAATTTATTCTATAACTGGAACCAAGTTTTTCACATATTCAAATATCTATAAACTGTTCTGTGACCTTGTTTTCAGTTCTAGTAACTTTAGAACAAAATTCTAACATAACTTAATGCCAGAATCTACAAATATACTCTAATAAAACAAGAACGTTTTCTTTAAAGATCCAATCCATCTCTCAATTTATGATTAAATTTTAATACATTTGTCTATTTGTTTACAACGTTGGGATCATAGCAGATGGTACATATTCATAGCTGCTCCCCCTTTCTTATCAGGATCCACCTTAAGGTTCTCAAAGCTTATAGTTCCAGTAAGGATCTGGCTGGACATGCATAAGGCAGGGCCAACAGCTTATTTCTAATACAGTTTTAATCTGTCCTCAAAGAAATTAGCGTCTGAAACTCGCAACTTGCGCGCGCAACTTTTGCCATTTTCGTGATTTCGCTAATTTTTGCAAATTTTCCGCAAAAGTTGGACAAATAATAACAAAATATCGTTAAAAACACCAAAATTTTCTTCCACGACTAAAAATAACGACGCCAAGGGGGACAGTTCGCTCCTTTGCATTATGGGGAGCCCGCCCACCAGTGTCCAGTGCTCATTAAGAGTGGGATCGGGATGGGTCGGGTCGAGTCTGGATGATCGCCCGACTCGTCTGAAAACAACGTGTTTGTTTTTTGAGGCAATGAGTCGGGCACGATCAACTTGTGCCACGATAGCCGCTTTGCGCCATCAATCTGACGAGCAAACTGCATCTAGATCTAGAGTAAATCAATCGTAAACACAATCATCTGATTACTTAGCTTGCTTAGTTTCGTAGCACCAGGTAGACAGATCTAGTATAAAAATTTGTGAAAGACTTTAAATCTTAGGTTAGGAGGGAAGATCTAGACATGGATCGTTTCATCCAGAAAACCCCTAAAGTAGGGGACATTAAAATATAGCTTACGACTGGGAAGAAAAAAGGGGGGAGGTGGGGGGGTCTTGAACCAATGTAAGATTACACTTTTGTAAGGTGAAAAAAATAACAAGGAAAATAGTTTATGACAACACAATCTTTTTTTAAATAACATAAAAAAGTAACTATACTATTCACTTAGAGAACTGTGGCTATACAGTAGGTCCTCGAGCGGCAAGCACGATGTGCCATCTCGTACTTTATACACTGGTAGATATCTAGGCTACATGACATGTAGATCTAGTCTAATTTTGATTACACCGGTGCGGTTTAAGTGGTAAAATGACACCGTAAGTTTTTCTGGAAAAGTTCTGCTTGTACCGTATTTAATTATTATGTCACATAAATATGTGAGTATGCATGTTTTTCATGAATACTATTATGTAAAAGTAAAGCGCATAGAAGAGTGACTGTAACACGGATTTGCGCAATATAAAAGTCATATTATTATAATAAGCGAATAATGTAATATTACGGGATTTGGGGGTGGGGGGGTGTAAGAAAAGTGTAAGCGGGGTCCCAAAGAAGGTGCATGATTATATTTGAACAGCCCCAAACCACGCTGATCATACCTGCCCAACGTCAGCGAGAGTTTAAAGACCTGGCACATGTGTCAGGGGAAAAACTTTGTTTTTGTATGTTTTGTTTTTGTAAAGTGTTTTACGGCGCTCGCAACTGCATAGGTCATATGAGCGCGCGGGACACTCCTAATATTTTCAGTTGGTAGGAAATTTTGAATTTTGCCCGGGTGGCGGCCGAAGCCTACTCTTATCGATTTTAGACCACCAAGGGATCTTTAACGTGCGCAACTTGCACACGGGCCCTCCGAGATTTTTCGCCCTTGTCCGAGAAGGCTAGGTGTAGATCTTTCCTACCAGAAGATCAGGGGTGTGACAGAAAGACAGCAGTAAGAAGGAGCCAAGGAGTAGCAGTAGAAAGGCTGCAGAAAGAGTCAGGAGCCCAGAGGAGGGGGCAAAGGAGGTGAGGGGCAGAAAGTGGAAATGAAAGCAGACAACAGAACATTGCTAGAGAGCAGGAAAGGAGGTGAAAGGAGACAATTTTAGAGAAGAAAATTTTTCGGTCGCTACCCGGATTCGAACTCGGGACCTTTGAATAAGAGGCCAACACCTTAACCTCTAGGCCACGAGAGCCCCCTGTGGAAAAACTGTTTTTGTACACCATGCAACCTCCATGCAGTTTTTTGTGTGTTTTTTTTGGGGGGGGTTGGTAGACATTCATATTTGACTTTTGATTTTGATCCAACAAAACTCATGTTGGTTACTTTGATTGCAAGGAGCATACCAACAATGTATTCCAATAATTCCATGACATTTTTTTAGGGAACACATCTTGCAACTTTTCTTGCAACTTTTGCTAATTTTTCTTGCAACTTTTGCTATTTTCAAATGCAAATTTCTCTGAGGACAGTCTAATACAGTAAATAAATGAAAGTCAACTCACATCCATATCGCGACTTCCCCATCCATCTGAGCTCATCACACCGCTTCATAAAGTCTGTCATCGCACCAACACCAACAGCAAGACCACTGATGCCGATAAACTTGCCCGGTTCATGAATAGTGATGATGCTCGTTGGATGAGTCTCACCTGCATAATAATGAAGTGGCAAATTAGAATATAAGTGCATGGGTTTAACGCCCATATCTACATTGTTAGTTATTAAAACGATCGAGCTCCAAATTTAACGTCCGTATCCACCAGGATTGGGCCAAATGGGTTGAGAGCCTTGAAAACCCCACAAGAATGCCCAGTCTAGGATTTGAACCAGGACCATCCACTTTGTAGTCCAGCATGATACCAACTGAGCTCACGAAGTACCCTGTGGCGATTTTAAGTCATCTGCAAATTAATGGATAAAAGTCAGTATTTGTTGTTGTTGTTATCGATCCAGCAACAGCTGGGCTTTCGCATTTCTGTCCAATGCCATGTTTTGATATGCGCAGGTTTGCTGCATTTGCTGTAATGTTCCATAGAGTGTGCTGTGAATGTTAAGTCTCGGAAAGAGAAGTGTAGCTCTGATGTCATTTAGGGCTATACAGTGGAACAGGTGATGAGCTACAGTCTCATGTACATAGTCACACAAAGGACACATTGGGAGAAGTTCTGATTTTATTCTGTTCAAGTGGGTGGATCATGGTCACTTGCGTAAAGATGTGGAGGCTAAAAGTCATGTGTGTCATAATGTGGTGGATAAAGGTCTCTGCATAATGATGCAGAGAATAAGAATAATCTGGAGAATTACGTGGTCACAAATGTGCACAAAAGTAGACAAAACCTTCATAGAGATCAAAGGTGAACTGCATAACAATGTGAAGAAAAAACGTAATCTGCAGAATTATGTGGCAAACTTATGTCTACACAACGAACTAAAACTATATACATATTTACATGTGTGTGAGAGGTCATCTGATGCATCTGTGCATGCGTTAGAGTGTGTGCTTCTTGGACTCATGTATGGTATGTGTGTAGTATGTGTTTTGGGAAAGGGGGGGGAGAAGGACGCTAAAGCAAAAATTCAATTTTTTATTCTACATTTCCTTTAAACAACTTAGGCAAAATCCCTGATTTTAAGGTACTGTGAGACGGTGTCAACAGAGTTAAGGTAATGTCAAAAGGTAAGACAGAAGACAACAAATTGACATGAACATCCAATCCTTTCCACAAACAAAAAAAGAAAAAGAAAAGATATTCACCTCGAATGACTCTAAGAGCAGAAGTTTCAGCATCTCTAACATTATCATTCGTGTACCTCACGATTCCATTAGATGAACCTGTTCAGAGTGGAAGAATTGAATAAATTTGCTTTGATTATCTAATTTTTAAGAAACCTTTCTGAAATTGTAAAAAGTAAAAGTTACACAAATACAAAAAAGACAATGGGGGAAAAGAATAGACGAGAGTGAAGCAACAAAATAAACAGATTCAAGTTTGTTACTAAAGAGTTTAGAAGGAGAACTGTGGACTCTTATCCAGCTAGCTTTGTCTGTATGATCAGAGCGGGACGGAAGATCAGAGTGACCACATTGTCACATGGAAATGTGTGAAATAAAACGGTTACATATGTAAAACATAGTACCCAAGCAATAAGTTGAGAACCATTTTTCATAGGCTTGAGGAATACAATGAATACTAATATCACTGTCAATGAGGCCGAAATAAATAGCCATTATCATCAGCTGCATAACAATATGCCTATCCTCATAAATAACAACCATAACAAGTAATTTTAGCATTTTTTTCTTTTCAAAATTAAAGAATCATTAGCTAGAATGCTTACCATAGCAAATTCACTTAAACTAAGACTCACCGGCTGGGATTAAGCAGAAAGGTATTTTTGGCTTCACAAACTCTTCATCTATATCATTCAGGTTGACCCCTGCAGCTTTCTGCAGCTGAACCAAATAACCCTGAAGAATCTCTTGATACAGTCCGTCTCCACCAACTGATATGATGCTGGATAAAAAAAGAATTACATTTGATTCCTTTCATCTACAAGTAATAGTACTGACTGAATTTTAATCATTAATGTTCTTTACAATAAGATAAGCTTGTGGAAACACTTCAGCTACAAACAAACACGATTATACAGCTACCAAGTCAAGTGCGCCTGAGAATAAAATATGAGAAGCATCGTGGTGAAATCAGGCGCACGTCAAAATAATGAAATGAAAGAAATTAGCATTTTTTATTGGCCCATGGGCCATTTTTTTCTTATTTTTTTTGGTGGCTCTACACCTTTAACGTCCATTTAAAAACACATTTTTGTGTGGATTTTAAAGGAAAAAGTGATTAAAGGCGAAAAAAATGTAAATGTTCAGTTTCCAAGGACTCTCAGGCTATGGAAGTTACGAAATTTTGACGGCCATTTTCTCACTTATTTTACCTCTGAAACCAGATAACCCTGACCTCCTTCAATCGCAAATACCTCGACTTCTATTCAACAAAGATTAATATTTTTTTCACCTAAAGGAAGGCAAATGAACAGGCTCATATGAGAAGAGGCAAAACTTTCACATTCATTCAACAGTTTACATAAAAACAAAATTTTGGGGGGTTGTTTCTGTTTTTGGCCAAAAGGCCGTGAAGTGATACAAAAACAAAATAAAAACAAATTTCAGACATCCCTTGAAGCTTCTACTTAGCAACCCATGTCTGCCCGAAAATTTCTTGAAACTTGACAGCATCTAAAGACACTTCGACAATTCACTTTTGATGCTTGATAAAAGATATATAGAAAATCAAATTATGACATTATATTAGTGGAGAAAAATTTGACGAGAAAAAGTTCTGAATGACAGACTTATATGGTGGTGTTCAGACCAAAGGGCTAGAACTCAGATGGCTGCTGGATCGGAAAAAGTATATATGGTGGTCTACAAAGATAATGAAGAAAAGAATACAAAAAACTTCCAAAACAACCTTACCCATCAAAGCCTGTAAAGTCCCTTGTTTCTCCAATTTCCAGTGCGTGTTTTGATTTCTCCGTTTCTAAAGTTTGAAAAACAATATATGTAGAGCAAGCAACTTTGACGGTGACACTGTGCATGATGTAAATGAAATTAAGGAACATACCTCTGCGAACAGTGTGTACAGATTCAAACATGGTGCAAATTAGTATTAGACAAGGATCATGAGAAGAGCTGATCTTGGACAGACCTTTCATGGCTTAAAAATAAAGCTTACAAGATTGATTCACTTATAAAGCAGATCTATGAACAAATTATGTGACACCCATGAATATATGCTTTAAAAATATCGTTGCTATGCAAAACAGGGACGAAAACTAAAAGGCAGCTAATAAAGGCAAGGGACACAAAATGTCAGAGACAGCAAATAAATGAAAGTGCAATGGGTTCTAATTTACTGTTGAAACTCTGGAAATGAAAAGAATTACATTCTGTCCTGAACTGGCGGCAATAATTATTAAATTATATGACACATCAGAAAACAACATAGTACAGCATATTTGTTCCAAATACTGCAGACATAAAAGTGTCAAAATAGAAGCCCTAGGTATCTAACATGAAACGTGTAATTCATCAACAACAAAAAATACCATATTCTGTGAGATTCATAGAAAGACCTTAGTCTGTTGAGAAATCAAATCCCACTGTTGTCAAAGAGGTCATTGTATTCTTCAGGAGGAAAGCACATTACCCTATTTTACCCCCAGCTACACATAGGTGCTGGAAACAGCGCTATGATTATCAGCAATGACATGTCTCGTAATACAGTCAAAAATGGCATTATGTTGTGTATCGCAAGACTATGAAGTAACTTCAGAACTATTTTACATAAGCATTGCACATGCCATTGAAACTGTAACCAAAACTTCCTCGTGTGGATAAATAAAAGTAGTCTTTTTTTCCCCCCTTTTTTTTATCCTAAGTCATACACCATACTGACCCAACTGCTAGTATGCTGCTGGTATGTTTTACCACCTACACCAACTCACCAACAACAGTAGTTTGACATCCAGCAAGCTTGAACATTGGGGCCACACTCTTGTGATACATCTGAGAACCCTTCCCATTTCCTCCAATGGGATTGATGATGACAAACAGATTCTTGGGTCTTCCTGAAACTATAAAGAAGTTGGTTTTTTTCTTAATTTTTAGAAATATCACAAACTTTACATCTGACACATTATTTTCATTGACAAATAATTATGTTTATCTACAGGATCTTTAAGTGCCACAAGCACTTTATCTTGTTCAAAACCAAACAAACAATACTGATTCACACAGAAGATTAAATCATACAAAAAGACTTAAAAACTCTCTCTCTCTCTCTCTCACACACACACACACACACACACACACACACACACACACACACACACACACACACACACACTTCTCTTGCTTTCTCTTTCTCTCTCCCTCCCTCGCTCCCCCCTCTCCCTCTTTTAAATATATACATTAACACACACATCAAAAAATGGCCAGTGTAGCAAAAAACTAGTTGCAGAGAATAAATACCTGGAATGCCAGATCTAAACAAAATATAAAAATACAAGTCTTACACTAACAACACTCTTTTATTACTTTAATTTGATTACCTTGGAGCTTCCCAAATAGATACATGCAGCATTCTCTTAACAATATCCCAAAGTTTTTCTGGCTGGCAACAACACTATTTCACAGAGCAACAGCATGACATACTAACAAAGGCACTAATATCAAAGAAGATTGCGATCCGGATATATGTAAAAAATACAGTAATAAGCTTCATAATAAATAATGTGTTGCTAACTTCAACTCACCTTGCTGGCACTGGGTCTGAATGGCATCTGCCCACTTGCGGGGCTCAATGTCTTGGGAGGTCAAAGTCAGCGACTTGTGCCGAAGCTTCCGATCCTTCTGATACTGCATGAAATGGATGCTAAACTTTGACTTCCCACCTTCTCCTGACGTTTCAGCAGTGATGACTTCACACCATGGCAGGTCCAGGTCTATTGAATAAATTTATTGCAGCCATTTGAAGAAACATTACATTATTAGTTAACATTGTCACAGTCAAAGAGAACCAAAAGGACACAATAATCAATAATAGTATAAATGTCTGGGAAAATCAGAGTTCATGGAAAGAAATGATAGAGGAATGCAAAAGAATTTCAGGAGCTCCATTTTAATCATTTACGAACAGGAAATTAATCCATCTCTTCTGGAAGATTAGTCATCTAGCATCTAAGACCAAGCAGTTTGCAATTGTAAACAAAAATCATAATTAGCTTGACCTTGGGTTGTGTGAGCACATGTGAACATGGTGATGTACTCGTAAATCAAATTTTTACTATGACAAGTAAAGGAGTCTTTGGTGCCCCTTTTTAATAGCAGAATATAAAATGCTAAAGCACTAGTAGGCTCATAATACACACTACTGAATCTTTCAAGTGTCCAGTAGACTTCTCAAAGTCAACATAATTTCCAAAACAATATTAATGAGGCCTTTTAGAGTACATACCAGTAGTTACCACAAACTGCTATCAACAAATTGTAAAGTTTAAAAAAATCTATTCCATAAGTAACATAATAATAGAAGATTTAATGGCTTTCAAGGACAGACTGCTTTGGCGGCTCCACAAATAAATCGTTTACATACAGCTGGGGTTTGCTCTGCCAGTTGATGAAAGTATTCATATATATATATGACATTCAGTTTAAAAGACAAGTGACCTGAAACTTTTAGAAAAACAAGTAAAATAGAATATCAATAGAATACCAACATTATTCAGATTGAACTTACTCAAGCTGCTGTCTTTGACTTTTTCTCCAGCTTGCACCTCATGAACTGTGACTCCATTTGTTGTAAGTGCAAGCAAGAGAGACTTTTTGCCTGCCTGCACAGAACCACTGAGAATGACATCTCCCGAATCATCTGAAGCAGTAGCGGAAGCACCTAAAAAAAAAAAACTCTTAAAAACTGATGATCTTCTGATGACGAATGACATACTCCTTTGTTCTTACAAAATAATAAATTACAATTTTTTTTTTTCCCTCATAAAATCGATAATCTAAAAACAAACAATTGAACCACTTCTTTTTTCAGCAGACAGAAAATTTGTTTAACTCTCTCTCTCTCTCTCTCTCTCTCTCTCTCTCTCTCTCTCTCTCTCTCTCTCTCTATATATATATATATATATATATATATATATGTATATACATATATGTATGTATATATCAAGCTCTACTTAAAATAAAATGTACTGCTCTTAATTTGTCTACCAACCTTTCCCTTCCTCTGCATCAATGCTGCCGACAGCTCCCTCAGTCTCCATTGCAACAGTTCTTATCACTTGATTGTCCCTCTCAAAGCTGTTTGAGTACAACTGTTAACCCAGACAGAAAGCACACCTCTCGGACAGTCATAAGATAACAATGAACAACCTGTCAGAAATTCAAAAATACAAACAAAATCTTTAAGTTAAAGAGGAGAAGATCCTGTTCACAAAGTACTGATACACACAAGCAAACAGGATGAGATTCATTATTTGATTTAAAGGTTAACGAAAAGTGTCATTGAAATGCTGTGAAAGTGTAAAAATCTTCTCTTTATCATCCTTTTATCAATAAAAGTTCATTTCATGTCAAGAAGGGACACGATTATGTGTTCTAAACGTGACAAAAAAACATTCTGCTTACTTGCACTGAAAAATACCCTTTGCATTTTTATCAGTTTACCCCCATTGGCAGGATACGTACTATCAAATATAAAAAATCATTTTTTCACGCAGGTGAAGGTGTTTTTACAGCCCCATCATTCAGGATAAAAGGGCTTCGACCCTGCCTGTTCAGGCCACCCTGTGCAGAGAGGGAACAACGTCCCAGCAGAAAAACAAAGACCCTTGATAAAAATTCTCTCCACACAGATCTTCTGCATGCAGCAGCATGTGCCACCGCTACACCACAGACACAGGTATATAATATCATTATGACCACACTATAAGACTCATTCTAATCTGACGAATCAAATGCCTAACCACTAGTGGTGGCCGGTCCTGTTTTTTGGGGGGAGGGGGTTTTGGTCATTACAACCGCAGATCCCTGAAAGCTAGGAATCATAGGAATCGAGTACGAACCCATTTACTTTAGACTCTGTGATTTTTTTGTCCGGGGAGTTCTTCCCATAGTTCCGACTCCTAGAAAATTACAATTACTTCCGGTGAGTACTTTCATCGAGTCCTATCCGTAGGCCTATAGTCCCTAAACATTTACATGATTACTTCCGTCAAGCAGAATTCTTCCAGCAAGTAGCAATTACTCTTTCTGTGAGCCCAATACCTCACCAATTACCGGCAGGGTTGGTGATTTAAAAAATTTTTAAAATAAAAATTTTAAAAATCGATTTTTAAAATTTAAATCAGATTTTTAAAATTTAAATCGGATTTTTTTTATTTTGTAAAAAATGTCGACACAG